GACCGTACCATCGGAGACGGGCTTCGCGCATTTTATCAACAATCGGAGCTACACCGAATCGCTCCCTGATGACATCATTACGAATGCGGTCTAATCGTGTGACTCCGGCTGTCCAGCGCAGCATCTTTGTCTCCATCACACTGAGACGGGCTTCAACTTCTTTAGTCCAAAGAAGTTGAAGGTCCACTACATTCCACAGTAACTTCTCCCTGATCAGTACACCGCCGCTTGTCCTGTTCCACCAAACCCTCGTTCTGCATGGCCACTCCTTTCGGCTCCAGATTGAAGCCGGACCGCAGGATATATGAGGCCCACTTTGATGTCCATGACTGTAAGACTTTAGCATTATGCTTGCACAGTTTCATCCAATTCCATCTAATTGTTAATAAGTTATGTCAATTTATCCATCTCGTCCTTAAGTTTTGCACACCAGTGTAGTGGCCTATGCGGTGGTATTAAGAACCGTGTTTCACATAAAAATTTACCTATTAAGAAAGACGAAAATGCGGATTTTAGTGAAGTTAGCGGCACTACAAGGCAATGGAAGGAGTTTGTGGCCGTTGCTGCCGAATAGACAAATCACTGACACCACGCAGCACTTCAAAAGAAGTTCATTGACAGGAAACGGATTGAGGCGAGGAAAATGCAAAGAAATAGCAGAAAGGAAATGGTCAAATGAATCTTCCAGTGAATGAAGAAATCGGCCGTTTCCATGCATAACTAATGGTTGACAGCGCTTATTCCAAGCCTCCCAAAGGTATTCAAGAGCATTCGAATGATTTTTTTATTGCTGATTGAAGTTGAATTTCAACAAACTCACATGCGACGACGTCTCTCCTCGGCAGCGCTGTCGTCCTCTGATCGTTGCTGTGGTTCTGACTGGAAATGGCTGATTATTCTCAGAAATTGTGCATGAGGATTACTTATGAACTACATTAGAAAATATTGACCTAAAATTTCATAATCCTCTCGACCTTTCTGTAATCTTTCCTGATTCTAGTCTCCAGAAAATGTCTTGTTCTACTCTATCCCATGAATTCATATCTCAATTGAATTCCGGTTCAGAAAAGGCAGCACTACGCACTCAAGTGTGGTCGACGGCAATCTGAGGGCCACTCGAAGTTCGCTGGGCTAATATTAGGTTGTCGGAAAAGTTTTTGCGCATTTGGCAACTTTTTTCAAAATTGTTTTTCTTCTTTAGTGCAGCCAACAATTGTTGAATACATACACCACCATAATCGTCGAAACATTGCTCTTCAGCAGGCAACTTCAGGTTGCCGGCCGTTCAGAAATCCCGAGTCTTTGGGGCGAAAAGCTCAAGAGGTTGACTCCGAGTAGGTCCGGATCATCGAACTGCCCCTATTTCAGTACCTTCGACGGCAACAGAGGCGTATGGTAGTCTGTCTCTACCAGGTTTGCTGAACACACTGAAGCGGGTCAGATCACCCCATCTTCGTAATTCGTGGGCGAGCGTTGCCGACATAAAGTAAAGTTTCTCCGATTTTCCGGGCACCATGCCGGGAAACCAATCCACTTGCTAACATTATTGTTCACCAATAGCAGTGGACTTCGTTGGCAGCAGCTCTCCGTGAGCGAAACATTTGCAGCCTCATGAGCTTTCAATGTTGCCTCCCAGGTTACTGTTCTCAATCGGCGTTGCAATCCTTTGTTCTACGCATCCGAGCCAGTCGTGCTTTCGCGTGCGGTTTATCTGAGGATCCCACTTCTTGACACCACCAACAAAGTTGGCGGATCAAGCGATAGACGGGCGGCAAATCAAAATGTCCTTGCAAAATTTTATGGTCTTAATAGCCTGTGGTCAGTCAGATCACAAAATATAGAGGCGATATTGAGGAACGGCCATTGTGTCTGGTAGCACTGAAAGAGCTCCGCCAATTACCGTGCATTGCACTAAGCACTCTCTCCAATCGAATTCAGAATACACTCGTCAATGAGGATGGCAGGCCGACCAGATTTGTGGTTTTTTCTCAAGTATCTGGAACTTCGTCTAGCAAATACATTGGCATATTGGGAATCAAATGAATTGGCATTTACCTGAAACGTCAAGTCTGGAGGTCCATCACAACACGTTATGGCTTCTACTGCGGTGGCTTCAATCGACGCCATCCTTCTATTTTATAAAGCGCTAACTTTGTGTGTCGGTTTGTGTATCTGTATGTGTGTGTGTGTAGTGTGTTGTGTACGTACAGTCGAGATCCGTAAGTTGGGGTAGGCGTGTCACCGGAAGTGACGTGGACTTGATAGAGGTTGCGTAGGTAAGTCGCTGCCAGCATGCTTTGCTGATATCTCGCGATATATATTGGAAGCACCTTATCCACATAGATTCTATCAAGTACACGTCACTTCCGGTGACACGCCTACCCCAACTTACGGATCTCGACGATATGTATGTATGTGTGTCCGTCCGCAAAATGAAGTGAGTGAGAAGGAAGCTCATGGGATAAACAAACCGCTAACAAATCGGGTAGCTTACAGGATTTGAGATATCAATGTTTTGTAGCAGGATAGTTGTGATAACACTCTCAGGGCTATATAAACACCTGCTTAGCACACTTCCGTTCATTCCACATGGTGCTGCAGTGGCAGCTGGAGGGCAGTGGAGAGAGGAAGGGAGGATGAGGAAGGGAAGCGAAAAATCTACCGTCATATCATGATTGTGTCCCTTCTACTGTTTGAAACACCATTGTGTTGCATACGCGTCACTTCCACGAGGTGTTGGTGTCACAGGAGGAAGGGACCATAGCGGAGGATAGAAAGCTTGCGCAGGAAAGGAAGGTCCCGGCGGTTGACGGGGGACTAATCTGGTATACATAAAAAACGAGGAGCAGTCGAACATACCTCTAGGAAAAAGCGGTCTTCAAGCTCCAAACGCTGTAAAATGCTACGACAGAAGTGCTGTGGAGAGCACGTTACCTACCGCTCACATGCACTTGAAGCGGCAAAAGTCGGGCTCAATAAGGGGGTATTATGGCGATTGAAACTGAGTATAGAGATGCGAAGTAGAACGACAGTGGAGAAAAAACTGAGAAAAACCGTCGACAAGGCCGTTAACAAAACCCTCTTTCCCACTAGCAGTGAAGGAGGCTGGCTTGGGAAAGAGGCACGTACAAACAAGTTTTCTGAAGATATCAGTCGTTCTATCGGTTGATACGGCAATCAACCTAGCTGATCTCACACGTTATGCCAGCCATGCACCACATCCCATGGTGGGCGGCCGGAGCGCCTCCAGGCGGCGCGAGCGCTTAATGCATGCCCTGGGGCGTTATTACGGCGCCTTTTGAGATTCTGAGCATGGCAACGTCCCTGTGGGTGCGTAGCCATGCACATAGACGACTAAAGTGATTGGTTTGGTCCACTGAGCCTGACTCGTGGCTTTAAGAGAGAATTTCAAAAACGATTACAAAAGATTTTACAAGATGAAGTGGAAAATGCTCACGTGTGGATCCAAAAGGGTGCCCTCAAAAAACAACACCATTCTGATATTAGCAGGATTGCCCAAGAAGTAGTCAACAGTTCGAACGGACGGTTGACCCTGAGTCTGAGTAGTGAAAGACTTATCAAGTCTTACAAGATTTGAAAGTGAAGGGTATTTGGGAGCCTCTGTTATCTTTGCAAACTCTCTTTTGGTAGATCATGCTAGAATAATCCGCTAGCCTCCATTATGCATTAGGGTAAATTCTTATCATTTGTAATTGGATGATCGCGTTTCCATAAACGGATGGATTCGCAACTATATGTCATCAAATGACAGCTAGTTGCCCTACCCAAGGCGAGTCGAATGAGCGCTCTTTACCTCGGGTCACTCACTGCAGGTAGCCGCCCTCAACAATCTGCCTACAGAACTGGCACATAATTTTTCAATTTCAATTGTTAGGTTTATTTGACGCTTCCATTCCTAACGTTTCAGGGGAGATTACGAGATTAGGAGGGAAAAAGTATGTATCGGTAGTGAGAGGCAGAATAAGGGGAGCAGATTAAGGGTATTCAATCGAAGTGTCTAATCCCTTCAGCTTTTTCCTGAAAAAAATTTTGCTAATCTTTCAAAATGTCAATAACGAGCACGGCTTAACATTTTCAAATATTGGGAAGATTTCGACACTCACCGAACGTCTTCTATTTGCAGGGTCGATTTCCAGATTCTGTGTGTTCTCAACGAATTCGGCTTCAACGTTCGAAATCACTGACGAGATTAACGATTCAACGATCTAGACATGAAAGCAATGATAAGCATCAGTTGAGCTTTAAGAAGAGTGCTAGTACTAAGGTTTCAAATTTCCTCCACAATTCCATAGCTACTTGAACTAATTTGACGGCAGGGGTCGGGAACCAGCTAGTTTGTTATTTCGTTAGAAATTAGACCACAATTGTGAAAGGGAACACAGGGAGGAAACGAAAAGTGACCACAAGGAAAAGATTTTTCCCGTGAGGCCGGCAGCGCTTCGAGGAGGGAGGAAACGCGAAGAGAGCACGGGGAACGCGAGAGAATGCAGACGCTCCGTATGTCGCTATTGACAGTCGTGGCAGCGGTCGCAGCGTAAAGCGTAGGTATTATTTATTTAATATGCACTCGAGGCGCACCATCGGCAACAACCAGAACCAGTATTAGTCATGTTGTCGCACAATTTCACATCGCGACAGTACCGTAGACCAGGGTATCGGTCGGGAAATACTCGTCAGGGGGGTCGTAATTGTGCGCGGCCAGTTACTAATCACATCAGTGTCATCATGTGCAGATAAGAGGAAGGGTTTGTGTTACACCTAGCCTGGAAAACGAGGACAATTTTTTTATTTTCTTATTATTTTCCGAGAGTACACTGCGGCGAGTAGTCAGCGAAAACGTGATGTGTAGAAAGTTGGCAAACGACTCCATCTTGCAGAGGTGGTGAGAGAGAGCCGTGTGTTGAGGCGTCAGACATGAGGGGCGCAAACCTCTTTGGTAAAAACTGTTATCTTTTTCCCATGCGCTATTATAGAATGAGAAGATGTTGCCTTTTAAGTGGCATTTAAGTCTCTCGAACTACGTCGAGAGACCCTATCTTTCTGAGTGGAAGGCTTTCAGAGCAATTTCAATACTTTTGGTAAACGCGAAATCCAGCTCTATCTAACCCTACCTCAAACTGCTTCAAAGGTTATGAAATGGAGGAATGCAACCTTTTCATCGAGGGTGTAGATTTCGACGGTTTTTTCGGGATTTCAGCAAATCTGACCCAGGGACAATCGCGCCGCAGCTGCCGGAATCGGCCGTCGCTCCCTAAACTTGACTTCCGCATTGCTCGGGGGTCGTATCAAGCAGGACCCCAATTTTAGGGGTGGGGCCGTAGCGCTGCGATAAGATCCTCGACACGATTTCCGTCCCACCGTCGACCCTGCGATTAGGAATCCTACTACCTCAGTCAAGAAGGGAATTTTTCTAAGGACCTCACCGCGACCTTTCCCTTTAACCAGCTTACCCCTATCAATTGATTCCATTTCTGCTGTTTCGAGCCTATTTATTCATTCAAGAACAGAAAAGCAAACAATTATTGCCGTCCCATCGAAAGTCATACGTGGGCAAAAGGGTAGCAAAAACTCATTATTTTCTATTATTTATTACTTTTTATTTATTTATTTTCGCTACAGCCAAGCATCTCTGGAAGGAAAGAAAATTGAGCGTTAAAATGTTGTGAGTATTAAATCCATACCATGAACGATGTCTTTGGATGCCAAAATATTCCACATAAAGCCACTCACCTCCTCTACCTTCTCTGGAGCAACGTTTTCAGTCTCTTGAGGTTTGATTACTTGTTCCTTCTTCTTGTCGCCTAGCGAAGCCTTTGTTCTAGTAGTCGAGGTTGTGCGAGAAGCAGCTCCAACTTTCTTCTCGGCAGTCGGCTTTCGTACTGCCTTCGGGGCCATTTTAGCATGTGGCATCATCGCGGATGTGGGTGGGAAGTTAAAAACACGACGGCACTTTCCGTTACTCTCGCATGCATGACCATTCTCCAATACATTCTTGAGTATCTGCCATTTTTTCGGCAAGTTGGACCAGGAATCGCTGGCTAGGGTTTATTAAAGCTCCCCTCATGGCTTGAGCGTCGGAAACGACTGCAAAACGTTGACTTTAAAGTCACTCACAATTAAAAAGCAGATTTATTATGCACCATTAAGTGAAAACATTCGTTAATCATGATTCATATTTCTATCAGTTTACTTGAGAGCAGCAAACGCTTTGTGCACGGCACATCTATCGACCTGCTCGACGAAGTCCCATAGCTCCTGTAAGACCAATTTAAATTCTCTGATAATGGATTTGAACTAATCAGAACGCAGTATGATGTGAAATGTAAAAAAGAAAAACTGAGGTGTAATTAAAATAAAGAAATATAAGTCAATAAAAAATGCATCAAGCACAAAGATGATACAAAAA